TCCTGGCCCTCAGCTGTGATGAGAACCTGTGCCTCTGCTGGATGCTGGAAGCAAAACATTAAATGCATACTAATCAGTGAGAAGAAGTGACAGTGCCAAGGAAGTATTTCCCCTTTTCCTGATTTCTTAGTTGTTGGATTTTTGTTTTTTGCATATTTGTCACACTTGTATGTTTCAAATCATGAATTAATTGTGATTCAACACATGTTCTGGAAAGCTGAGTTCAATTTTATTAGCCACACTCTATAAGCCCCAATTACTGCTAGTACCTGTCTGAAAAAATGAAGTACCGGTAGGCTAAAAGATCTCAAAAAGCAACAAACTGTAATCTAAAGAAACAGAGTCACTGACATTTATCAGTCTGGAAAGGGTTGCAAAGCCATTTCTAAGGCTTTAGGACTCCAGTGAATCATGGTGAGAGACATTGTATGGATGAAATGGAGAAAACTTTGAAGTGGTGAACTTTCCCAGGAGTGACCAGCCTCCCGAATTTACCCCAAAAGCGCATACTTGACTCATCCAGGAGATCACAAAAGACCCCACAACAGCATCTAAAGAACTGCAAGCCTCATTTTCCACAGTTAAGGTCAGCGATTATGATTTAACAATAAGAACTGGATAAAACGGCACAATGGGGGAGTTCCAAATTGAAAACCACTGCCGACCACAAAGAACACAAAGGCTCGGCTCACTTTTGCCAAAGAATATTATAATGATCACCAAGACTTGTGGGAAAACATTCTGTGGACTGATGAGACAAAAGCAGAACTTTTTGGGAGGTTTGAGTCCAGTTACATCTGGTATGAAACTAACGCAGTACTTCATATTTCATAAAAAGAACATCACAGCAACCAGTCACCAGTGGTGGTAGTAGTGTGATGGTCTGGGGCTGCTTTGCTGCTTCGGGACGACTGCCCTCATTGATGGAACCATGAATTCTTTTCGCTACCAGAAAATCCTGAAGGAGGACGATCAGCCATCAGTTCGTGCCTTGAAGCTCAAACACACTCGAGTTATGCAGAAGGACAATGATCTATCTACAAAACACCAGCAAGTCCACCTCTGAATGCCTAAAACAGCTAAATGGTGGTTTTGGCGTGGGCTAGTTAAAGTCTGGACTTAAATTAGATGGATATGCTTTGACATGACCCTCCAATCTGGCTTAAATAAAACAATTCTGCAAAGTTGAGTGGGCAAAATTCCTCCACAGTGATGTTATTGCAAACGCTTGATTGCAGTTCTTGCAATCTGATGGTGCCACAACTAGTTATTAGTTTTAGGACCAGGTGGGCTTTGACAGCTTTTTCTCTCAATAAGCGATCGTTTAAAATCATTTTAAACCTGCTTTTTTATTTACTCTGGTTATCTTTGCCTGATCCCTTTGTTGGATCAGAAACATTTAAGAGTGAGAAATATGCAAAAAATATAAGAATTCAAGAAGGGGGCAAGCACTTTTTCACAGCAGTGGTTTACACAAAGGTTTTATATGAAAGCTGAATGTGTGTCAGTGCATCTAAAGCATTTTGTTAGTCAGAGGGACAAAGAGCGAGACAAATTCACCTCTTTGTTGTCAGACCTCTTGTGTCTGAGAGGATGCAGCCATATGGGATAAGTAATCTCATAACTCTCCACGTTCTCAAGGATGCTTTCCAGCGAAGCCTGTTTGGTTTCTCCTGATTAGAAACACATGAAACGGAGGGAAAAGGTTGAAATTACCACAGAATAAGAGTTAGCGTCTTTTCTTTGCTGCTAGTTAAGAAACAACACTGGAGATCCACGTTGTCGTCTACATAACCGACACACACCTGATGCAACCATTTAAACAGGAATGCATCCCTGCGCAAAACAACAGTCGTCTATTCAAAGCAGGCATCCAGATTCTAGTCGTGCCGGGGAACACTTGGACTCACCATTGTAAACAGCGGCTTCAGACACAGCAGCAGTGACGGCACAGTAGAGGACAACTATGAGGCACACACACACACAGCACCGCGCGGCATAGGGAGGTGGTGATGGTGGTGGTGGAGGACGCGCTCCTGGACGCATTCTAAAAACAAACGGCTCCGGGTGAAGTCGCTCAGCAGAGGCATAAATGTGCGGTGATCCGGCCCGGTTGCTTCACATCACAGAGGCAAACCGTGAGATGCTGGCACACCATTTTGCCTAACCACTCCCCTTCGACAGAAAGGGAGGACGATGAGCCGAGACGAGGCAGACTAGCAGTCAGGAACAAACGAGCGAGAAGGAAATCACGATCACAGCGCTTTTTTAAGTGAAAATCTATAAACGGGATTATTTAAAAAATATATCAATTTAGCGCATTTAATTTATTCTAGAAGTCTTGGAATGGTTATTTTAGCACTATTTGCACCACTTCAAAGGATATCCTACTGTACTTCCACAAATTTGAAAGACAAAGCAGTGGCAAAACTGACAGAAATACCAGATCATGTTTAATTCAACTCTGTTTGATTTATATAGCCCCAAATCACAATAACACTCGTTTTTATATTGTAAGGTTACCCTAAAATAGTACAGAAAAGACCCCGACAATCAGACGACCCCTACGAGTAAGCACTTGGCGACGGTGGGAAGGAAAAACCTCATTTTAACACGAAGAAACCTTTACCAGAACCACGCCAGCCATCTGCGCCACCAGTTAAAGGTAAAAGGAGGAAGACAGGACAAAAGACATTAATAAGAATGTACTTCCCATTATTTGACTACTATTTTCATTTCTCACTTTCTTTTCCACCAAAACAATTTTTAATGGAGGCTTTCTGTTGTTCTCTTTTTATAACATGCTTATCCATTGCAGTGTCTCTCAGAACAAGTTATGGACCTTTAATGCCACCATAGGCTAGACAATGGACTGTTGCATTCATGTTATACATTGAAAATATATAAATGAAAAGATAAGTGTACATTAGCTGTGCTATATATGTTTTTCATAATTATTTAGAATAATTATGAACAATTATTATGAAATAATTAAAATTGGTAATGTACTTAGACTCCAATTTAAGACATTCCTGATGACATCACTAGGACATCTGCAGAGTCATGTTAGTTTCAAATGTAAAGCTTTTTGACAGCTGCTAAAGA